GCCAGAGACTTCACATGAGATTTGGACAATCTTGTGGGGGAAAAGCAGATTACTTCTTACTTGTGAGCGCCCCCCCTCTGGTGGGGAAACGTTTTTCCGGGATACAGACTTTTTCAGAACACTGGTAGACGGCAGCCATTACAGACGAACATGTGTTTGTTGTTGTTCCAGGAGCGGCTCGGTCACACACTAATGTCATTAGTTTGTTATCATTACTGAGCTGCAGGACTGCTTTTCCCCTTTTTTTCCACATCATGTCTCCTGCCTGAGATCTGTTATTATCTCGCTCTGAAGCACGGAGGAGTGTCACTGGTAAGCTTGCTTCAACTGCTTTTTACAACGCGGTCTCATTTCTGGACTCAAGCATTTTGTGAGTGAAGCCGATATTTCAGTTAAAATTCATTAGTAAAAATATTTATCTGAGTATAATACTGCCCCCAACGTTATGGATGATTTTATGGATTAAATTTACGTATTATACTTGAATAAATATGGTAACTCCTCTTTGCGGTTAAATACTGTATATATTTTAAAACAAAGTTGCTGTGTCACAGAGTTTAGATCAGGAATTTTAAAAAAAAAACCTAGGCTACGGTGATCCGAATCCAACTGGACATATTTTAATTAYGTTTGATGTGATCCCGTTTTAATTTAATCCTCACAGCTTTAAAATGTTCCTAAGTTTATAAAGACCTCAGCATTTTTAGTCTTCTTGTGGACACTGAATGTTCTGACATGGAGCAACCTGCAGAGCAGCGAGGGTCCGGTTCAATGACAGCAGGAGCAGTCACTGTCCGGTTCTGTAACTTTTGTTCAGTCCGGTCCGTACCAGGAGCTACTTGAAAAATTAGCAGGAGCAGTTTGAAGAGCTGATCACGGACATCCAGCTGACATCCATGTCCCCCCGCCCTCCCCCAATCACTGCCTCGAGTTAAGTTTCCCTCCTCCTGCTGTCTGGTGTCCGCTCCGGAGAACACACACTTGTTTACCTGTAGTTACAGGACATACGGCGGAGCGAGCCGCTGAGCTTCAACTCTACACATTTTATTCTTTCCTGAACACATTAAGCTGTGGCAATGATATTTTATAATAATAACAACAACAACAACAAAAATAGCAGCTGTGGAGCTGTGTGTGTGTATTTTGGCCCGATCTAAACTACGTGACAACAACCACAGTTTAAAACTCTTGAAGCACAAAGAGGATGTGTAAGTTAACTCAGTTTGTTTTATGACTGATAGACTCCATGTTTTCACTGTGGGTGGGGAGTAGGGGTGTAAGAAAATATTGATACACTGAAAGATCACGATATTTCATTTCCCGATACTGTATTGATATTCTAAAGCCCTGTATCGATTTTTAATTAAGGTTTAAAATGTCAACTTTCTTGCCAACCGTTCATTTTTATGTTGTAGTTCAGCCTCTGACCACTAGTTGGCAGCAGTG